GTCACCATGGGAACAGTGATGGAGTGTACTAGAAAGAAAAGCCCTACAGCACAATTATAATGGACAACACGCCTTACACAGGTTTTAAATATATGGCAAAAATATTGACCAGGAATACAGAAGAGGTTTTACTGGGATTCAAATTCAGATTTTTAATTATTAAAAAATATAATTTTGAATAATAATTTATAATTTAAGTTATAACAATAATTTTTTGGGGGAAAATAAATGCTTTATGTATGTGTGTCCATATTTTCTTATAACAACATTGTAATAAGCTGCTGATAATAGCCATCCAAAAATGATATCAAGCAATATTGAAAATATCTGCTCCACTTTTGGTTGGTAAATGTTATGTGAATATCTGCAGTGATTAAACAGAAACAAGAGTGACTACATGCCAACTCTTTTTGTGAATCTAAAGTGGGTATTTTCTCACCACATCATCCAAGTTGACATTTGCTCCTCTTCTGATGAGCTCTTGAACAATCTCAAGACTGCCCTGCTCTGAGGCCAACATGAGAGGAGTCTGTCCATTCTGTCAAACACACAGTGAGAAAGAGCGAGCTTTGATATTTCTACATTTTAACTGATAATCTTAAATTGCATTTGACTTTTTTTTAGACGCAACTTACATCGCTTCGACCATCCACCTCTTTGAACTTGTCAAGATGGGCTTTGACAGCAGCCAGATTCTCTTCTTCCACATAGCCGAAGAGGTTCTGGATGGCCAGAGTGGTCATCTTGATGGAGGTTGTGGTGTCCATGATTGCCACTCACTGGGACACCCTGAACAGAGATATATGTAGTCATTTTCAAAACACAGATTATGAACAGAGATGGTCTAAGATAATCTGAATTCTGCAGTAGGTTGTTGGGAGGATAAAGATGTGAAATTCTTTGAGATTAGAGATGTTAAATTGCTGAGTTAGCCTGACTGAGTGACAGGTGATATCAGTGCAGGCCAAGAATAGCAATGGACTTTAAATGTCAGGAGAAAGGAGGCTGGCACAGATAAGCATAACACAGAGATAACAGTTCATTTTCTCCAAACACCTCCACAGACACACTCTAATAGGTTTCCCTACAGTTAATTAGTGCAAATATTCATCTTAAATATCTATCAAAAAGACAATTTCATACCTAACACTCTTTCGATTTTCCCCCATCAATGCATTTATTTATTTGTCTATTTCTATTGCCATACCAGCATCTATAGCTATTTTCATGGAAACATCAATGTATTAAAAGAAAACATAGGCTACAACATACAATAGTAATGAAAAACAACCAATATAACAAACATTATATACGATTTTTCATTTGAATATCTGTCATTTATCATTTGACACTTAATTTAAATTTTTTAAATTTTTCCCGGTGAAATAAATGGACAGAATAATAGATATATAGAATGACAGGATAAATAAAATATAAACACTACGACACGCAACACCCTATACCACCCTGTGTGGCAAAAATCCAACCACAAATCAATCCAAATAAATGTTTAATATTTTACAGCATTTGATGCTTTTTCAATATGCGCCGGCACGTGACCCTCATTTTAACCTTCAATACAGACTAAAAGAATGTCTGTACAGAATGTTCAATACAGACAATACATAAAAAAAGAAGAAAAAAAACAGGCAGGCACTCAACAAACAACTGGACAACAACAAAGAGAATATGGCAGCTCACTCAGGAATCCAAGCAGCTCTTTAAGCTCTATCTGTGAAACACGACACCGAAGTTATTCTTATAAACCACTATGTGACACCATATATATCCAGCACACTCAGTGTCACACTGTCCTCTGCTTTTGTGTGAATGCCTTTAGATTGCTGGCTGTGACTGCTGTCTGTCTGTCTGCTCTGGAATGGCATCATGCATTATTTATGGCGACCAAGAGTGGTTCACGCCTAGAGTCTACAGCAAGATGCTGAGATGACTGACAGCCCTACAATTATAATGGTGCTCTATATTAAATGGATATTTATAAAGACTGGTGAGAAGCACACTATATTACATAAAACAATAAAAAAAAATGACTAGGCTAAGATTTAACCTTCAATACAGACTAAAAGAATGTCTGTACAGAATGTTCAATACAGACAATACATAAAAAAAAGAAGAAAAAAAACAGGCAGGCACTCAACAAACAACTGGACAACAACAAAGAGAATATAGCAGCTCACTCAGGAATCCAAGCAGCTCTTTAAGCTCTATCTGTGAAACACGACACCGAAGTTATTCTTATAAACCACTATGTGACACCATATATATCCAGCACACTCAGTGTCACACTGTCCTCTGCTTTTGTGTGAATGCCTTTAGATTGCTGGCTGTGACTGCTGTCTGTCTGTCTGCTCTGGAATGGCATCATGCATTATTTATGGCGACCAAGAGTGGTTCACGCCTAGAGTCTACAGCAAGATGCTGAGATGACTGACAGCCCTACAATTATAATGGTGCTCTATATTAAATGGATATTTATAAAGACTGGTGAGAAGCACACTATATTACATAAAACAATAAAAAAAAATGACTAGGCTAAGCATTATATATTATGTTTTGCTATATTTTTACATCAAAATATAACAAAACAATAAATATTGTAATATTTACTGTTTTCTGTTTGTTTGTTTTTGCACGCATGTATGATGTGCTTCTCTCCATGACAGACAGACAGACAGACAGACAGACAGATAGACAGACAGATAGATAGATAGATAGATAGATAGATAGATAGATAGATAGATAGATAGATAGATGAAAATATGGCTAAAAATAACTATATAATGTCAAATAAATGGAACCTGCGTGAGTAAGAGCACAACAACACCACAGCACATTATCTGCCCGGTAATAAAGTGCTTGTTAATCCTGATATATTTCACTGTCTAAACATTATTGTAATTTGATATTAAATAAACAGGGCGGGTAGTGCCTCGAGACCAAGTCAATTAATCGCCATCAAAACAACCCTGAACAGATTAACCGTATTTTAGTACATTTACATAACAAACTACATCTTATTCGCTGTGAATGTTCAATTCTGCTTAAGTCTACAGCTTGATGCTCGTTACTGTCCTTTAGGAGGTTATGAACTGTCAATCATACGCGGCATCAACCGACAAACGCGATTTAAAGCCTACATCTGCCTTCTGTTACGAGACGTAACGTTACCTCACAGAAAAGAAACGCTGTAATTATCTGCTGTCTGAAGTTCCGTTTAGAAGGGCGTATTTCTCTCTAGTTTTTCGGTCTACGGCGCTTCTTTCTTCCTATTCACCATCTTCAACAGCCATTTTGACAAAGCAGAGCGCAGCGCTCCTAGTGTGTAAGCTTCTTCCTGCGAGCCCCTGACAACACACGGCGTGACGTCACGCCTTCCTCAGCTCAGCACGCGAATGCATGTGATAGTTGACAGTATATAAGGGAAGTGATACTATATTACACAGCAATTATAGTCATTTTTATTTGAGATATTTAATCTTGTGTATTTAATCCTGTGTTTGCCTTTCCTAGGGCAACAGAACAGTCTATGAATGTTTCTTCAACTAGCATACTGTATTGTATGGAAACTTCGCCCTGTGGCCTTTTTGAATATAAAATTAAATAAATAAACAGGCTACTTTTCACTAGTTTCAAAAGTGAACCAAACACATGTTACTTCCACAAGATCACAAATTATGTGTTGTGTTTGAAATCATTCTGTGATGGATGTATTGCTATATGTACTATAAATACACACATTTGCTTGTTTTGTCATCATTTGACCAAAAATAAATAAATAGATTTTTTTTGGCATTATTTGACTAAATTAATAGTTGTAGTGTGATATTTAACATCTCATTACATATCAAGCACTTCCCTCATATGTCTCCAAAGTAAAAACGTACACAAACATCTTAAGAAACTGTATTATAATAGAATCTAAAAAATTATTATCTAAATAATGCAATTCTAGTTCTGGAATAAGGGTAAAATAAACGTATAAATATAAATTTAAACTAAATTTTTAATTACATTTAGGAAAGAAAGCAAGAAAGACAGAAGTTGGAAAAAATGGCTGTTTGGACATAAATGTGCCTGTAGTGGAAGTAACATCCCTATAATATAACGTCAGCAAGATCAAGTAACTTATTGTTATCTGTAGTGGCACAAAGTGCACAGTTTATGTCTGCAGAGCAAAGGGCAGATGTTCATCCAGGTTGAGGCATTTGAGAATACGGAAGGCTAAATTACCAATGTGTTTCAAACATTTCACTACTGAATAATGAATGTGTAACTGTACCGTGCACATTACCTTCACAAAATGGTTTATCAGAAGGCAAACGGACCACAAAGGAGTAGTAAAAAGACCTTTTTTAATCACATAATTTGCAAAAAACAAATGTTCCAGATCCACACAGAGAACGTAATGTTTCAAACAAATCCAGTGGACATCCTCTACAATTTCGTATGTCTTTAACACAAACATCAGCTTCATTTCCAACCCTAAGCAGGCCAAACCTTGAAGCTGACTGAGGCCATACAAAATGTGCATTACTGTGCATACAGAATCACCACCTGCCTGACTCTCAAAAGTCATGCAGTTAACAGTACTATCCATTTTTTTTTGCTGGAGGTTACTCTAACATTCCACTACTTTCCAAAATTCCCAGTTTAGATTGGATCAGTTTAAGAAATACTTTTGTTTATGAGAAACAAATCTCTGGTCTTTAGATTGGAATGTATTATGTGTAACTTTCAGCATTTTATGAGAAGACTACATGGACGAGACGCTACAAAAGACCATAACAAACATAACATGACAAAGGGCCAAGAGCCCAGTTTTTAATGGCGCAGCCATGGAATTAAATCTTAATTCAGTCTTGGTGACTTCAAAAAACAACTTATCTTAAATTTTTTGAACATCATCCTTTGATCTTCTTTCCTTTTTTCCAATAACTTTATTATTTTTCGTTTTATTACTTTAGAATTTATAATTATTACTTTATTAGATTTTAGTTTAGTTAGTCATATTTATTTTTACCCCTACCACATTAAAAATCTTTGCTTTCAAATATAATGTTGCCAGCTTTCTGCAAGTGGTATTGGCCTTGTCCCTGGCAAGAAAATCCTATTTACAAGCCCAATGCAAGACCACCAGATTAGGACACTAATACTTGCTGTGACAAGTTGAATTACAAAGGCAAGGTCACATAATTCTATACAACAGTGTTTTCTTGGCAATACAACTCCTCTTACACCAGTCAGATTTGATTCCATCATCTCAAATCACTGTCCAATCCCAGTACACTATACTGAGCCAAGGGATGACTTACTCTATCAGTCCAGACAGAGGCTGGTTGGTTGGTTTATTTGTGAGCTTTAGTTTATCTGACTCTCTTCATTTGTGGCTGGAGAATAGGTACATTTGCCCAGTCTGTGTGTGTATAGAAGATTGGTAAGGTGTTCCGGGACTCATGTGGCTTTTTGTTTCTGGTTGCTGTTGCTGTCTGTGCTCTCCAGACTTGGCCGTACAGCAGACTGTTGCTCTTTCAGCCGCAGATGGCGTGGTTTCACAGGCAACGCGATGGCCAGCAGTATACAGCCTATGTGAATGCAGAAGTACCATGACCTACAAAGTGATGGAGACAGTAGAATATCAATTCATGAACGAAGAAAAAAAAAGTTATGCATTTTTAGTATCTATTTTTGTTTGTCCAGCCCACCTGTAGAACTTGAGCGAGGGACCCACAGAAAGCAGAACGAAGGGAACCACTGTGTAACAAATGGCAATCTGTGTAGCCGCCCATGTGATGACATCATACACAAACTTATAAGTTGGAGAACCCAAGAAGTACGGTCTTACATTGTGTCTCACCTGAAGGAGAATAGGGAACATGACATTAAAAAAGGGATGGATAACAACTAACAACCCTCAGAATTCCAAGCATTGATATTCATGTTGTATTATGTTTTCAGGGAGACATTAGTGATTTAAATAAATAAATCAAATTTAAGCAAAGTTTTCTCCAGGTTTTGTAATGTATATTGCAAATTGTAACCAATAATTGATACTTTTTTCCTTGAAATTTTGGTATTCATAACATCATTTAGCATGCAAATATATTTGAAAAAATAAAAAAATAAAAATAAAAATATATATACATAAAGATATTTCAACCGTTACGGATAAAGTCTTGAAAAGTAAATATTCCACAATCTGACCATTTAAATACTGTAATAAATATTTATATCAAAGCACATTTTAAATCTAATGTATTCATTTCAATATCAATTCTTTTAAAAATATATTTTGCTATATAAATAATGACGAAACAGTTCAGCAAACACCTGAGAAAAATTAGAACAGATGTACCATTCAATAAATAGGCTCCGTCTGTGTGAGAACAACAGAAACAAGTTTGACCCTTAATGCCTAATGTTGCATTTTTCCTATGCTTAGAAAAATGGTAAATCGATGCATGTTCAAAATGTTAGGGCATGCAAGTCCTTACCCAGTACTAGACATGTAGAAGTAAAATGTAAAAAAAATACTTGACATGAAGTACTGAATATGTATAATAAACTTATTCCAAAAGTGCTGTCTCAGCTGATTAGCCAGATGTGTCAATTAAAATGCATTTTTCCCCATCTAAACTGTTGTGTTATGTTACATTTCAGAGTCTCAGCTACTGTGTAGTTTTTACCCACATCTCGTAAAAATTAGGTGTTATTTAATTGCTTCATACAATTGCTTTATAATGCCATAAGTAGTATTTCATGTATTGTCTACCCTTCTTCTTTATGATAGATGTCATTTACCAAAAAAAATAAATAATAATAATCCCTTTATGGCCAAGCAAATGGCAAGATTACATGAAAGGGACAGGAATATTCCCTATGTGAAGTGCACTTTATGTTTGGTAGAATGTGATGTCACTCACAGCTCTGGCAGCAAGAGTGATGACGATGCCAGTGAGGAAGGTGAGGTAATAGCCTGGGTAAGCCCCGTGCCACATGGCTGACAGCAGGAAGGTTGCAGCAGTGCGGTTGTAGGGACAACGTTCATAACACACCCTACAAGACAACACACAATAAACAATATACAACAATCACGCTAGCATAAAAATAAAATGAGAAAGGAAATGATTCTTCATCTTTTCATCTAATGCTTACACTTAGTATAAGTTGTTAGTCTGTTTGCTTATGATGACAACATGTTAAAGGGATAGTTCACCCAAAAATTTAAATTCTGTCAATACTCACCCTCATGTCGTTCCAAACCCGTAAGACCTTGGACATAAGGGTGAGTAATTAATGACAGAATTTTCATTTTTAGGTGAACTATCCCTTTAATTATTGATAAACTGGATAATTGTGAAAAATCACCAGTAGATTGGGCCAACTCACACAGAGATTACTGAGACCTGTAGTGATACACTCCTTATTCAATCTAGGACACGCATTATTTTAAACAAGCACAGCATTTAAAAATCTTAATTCAAAACAAAATAAAAGCATAAAGAATCTTACAGACCGCAAACATTTGAATGGTAATGTACAATAGCAAAATGTGCTCTTCCTGTTCTTACCTTTTAAGCCAATGTGCTGTTTGAATGTTCCAGTTATCCAGGAATACCTTAAAGCTGGTGGCAAGCTGAAAATATAAGAGTTTACTGATTATACCACTTCCGATTCACTCAGGGGGGGGGGGGGGAACTGACCTCTATATTCATGATCCTGAGGTTGGAAATGAGATCCCATCGAGGCAAACCATTACTGTCGTAGCCATTAAATCCAAATCCTGCTGCGTTATTGATGGCATCAGCTATTTAGAAAGACAGCATGAGTGTCAAGATACTCACATCAGAAATAATAAATGTTATGAAACCCAGGATACACAGCACCCAGTTTGTTTCTACTTTATAGGTGTAAAGTGTTTGAATGGAGCAAGTATGTAATTGCCAAATTAGGAATTCAGTGAATTATGAAAATGCTTGATATAGTGTTTCATATTTCAAAGAAGCCTGTAATAAAATGTACAATAAATATTGGTAGAATTTTCTTCTTACTATGTCAAAACCTACTAAATGAATTGAATATCTGCACACAAGTTCCATCTTTTGTCTGAAGAGGGCAGTAAAACACAAGCCATATGGACCAAGTCTGTGTTGTGTAAGATGTTGATCCCAATTCAAATGGGTCACACAACCAGTCTGCACAACAGATGATGGATGATGCATCCTAATGTGCAATTAATCATGCCCGAGGTACAGCATAAATGATAATGATGGAACGTGAAAGACAAATACTGCTTGTGCTTGATTGAATTATTCTTTCCAGTATGGTTCAACAGACACATATATAACACATTAGGGGGAGAGAAAGGACGATTTGGAAATAGGAAAATTGACTAATAAAAGAAGTGTCATGCCTGTTTAAAATGAGGGGTCACTTATTTTTTTGAGGGGAATAAGACATGATCAATCTGCAAGAAAGCCTGAGATTTTATAAATATACACATATACATACATTTATCAGGTTAGTCAAGTCCTTTTCTTTCTCAGATTGATCATGTCTTATTCCCCCTCAGAAAAATAAGTGTATGATGCCCCTGCGAATGAACAAAGAAATCAAAACATGATATCCATCAATGGAACATAAACAAAGAGAAGATGAAACAAACCAATATCTTTCAATAAAGATCAAAACAAGAAAAGGAGAGAGAAATCTAGCCAGATGGGAAGAGAAGGAGAGGCAGGAAGTCCACGCACCCAAAGTCCAAACAAAGTAGTATTTAGGCCGGGTGGTCAGCATGGACAAATACAGGTAGACCACCTGAGCATAGAAGGGCGTGGTGGCAATAAAATCATCATCAACGTTACGCTCCACAGGACAGACTTTGCAGACGGAGAGAAAGACCAGCAGAGAGATGAAGCAGGTGGCCAGTTTCCGGATGACCTCTGTCTGTTGAGAAACAGAAATGCACAAACTGATATGAACTTGGAACATGCCAGTCATATGTAACTTAATAATTTTGAATAAAACATAGATAATATACACTACTGTTCAAAAGATTGGGGTCAGTGCATTTTTTAAAGAAATTAAAGGGATAGTTCACCCAAAAATTTAAATTCTGTCGTTAATTACTCACCCTCATGACTGTAATTTTACGAAGCTACGAGAATACTTTTTGTGCACAAAGAAAACTAAAATAACAACTTTATTCAACAATTCATCTCCTCCGTGTCACCCTGTAGCGCCATTTTGGAGAGTATCACAACGTATGCTGTTCTGTGTCAGGAGCACTGCACGCGGATACACTGTTTACGTTGTTTTCGCTTTGATCTGAACGTAAACAAAGTATCTGTGTACATACGTTGCATATGTTGTTTACGTATGTGATGCTCTCCAAAATGGCGCTACAGGGTGACACGGAGGAGATGAATTGTTGAATAAAGTCGTTATTTTGTTTTATTTGCGCACAAAAAGTATTCTCGTAGTTTTATAAAATTACGGTTGAACCTCTGACGTCACATGGATTATTTTAACGATCTCCTTGCTACGTTTCTGAGCCTTGATCCTTGCTGTCTATGAAAGGGTCAGAGAGCTCATGGAATGCATCAAAAATATCTTAATTTGTTTTTCCGAAGATGAATGAAGATCTTACAGGTTTGGAACGACATGAGGGTGAGTAATTAATGACAGAATTTTCATTTTTGGGTGAACTATCCCTTTAATACAGTTGTTCAACAAGGAGGCATTAAATTGATATAATATGAGAGTAAAGACTTCTATAAGATTTCTATAGCAAATAAATGTTCTTCTTTTGAATTTTTATATAT